CAGGAGTGCGAGACAGTCCAGCCCTACGGCCAACTTTAGACCAATCACTGCGAGCCTCTTCACTCTTACTGTTTAACTCTTTCATCATCATAATAATAATAATAATAATAACAATATAAATGGAATAACATCTCACATCTGACCACGTTAACTCATTAGCATGATGATGCACGTGCTATTATGTAATTTTGGAAGTGATGTTTTTAAATGCATCCTTATACTCTTTTATGCAAATCTTAAGCATACTAAGCACGCATGCCATTCATTTCCATTTATTGTAAATACTTGAATGTTGTAGATTGTACACAGTATTGTAGAGCACACACAATATGCATATGATGTTGCACACATTTAAATGGGGGTTAAGAAGACATACCATTTTGTGGACTAAGGAAGAGTGCAAAATCTATGCAGCAAAAGTCCCAGAACAAATAAGAGCTCTCTCCTCGTCTCTGCCCTCAGCTGGAGGAGAATCACTCACTCGAACCCGCGTTTCATAAAACTTGCTTCACATGTGTGAACACGTGCTGCCATCTTGTGCTGGGTTTTCAAACAGGACGTGCCCAAGTCATCGTTGACTCAATTTATTAAAAAAATAATAATAATAAAATGTAATTTTAATTATAAAATTAAAATAAAGCTGACAGACAGAAAACAAAAAGCCGAAGTACTCAAATTAAACTGAAATTGCTAGAAATAAATGAAAATGAGAAAATCACTTAAACTAAAATTAAAACTGAAAACATGACAACCCAATTCAAAATATTAATAAATACACCAACAATGAAAAATATAACACTGGTATAACGAACAGTAAAAACTGTGGGGAAAAAACACATGTAGAAAGTACTTAACCAGTTTCATTGTAACTTATTATAACTTAAAAGTGTATAGTTTAGTATAGTAAGGTCCTAAGCACAAATCTGATTATTTACATACAAGTATCCCAGTTTGAAGCTTTTGAGATACTGTAAGTTACAATACTGTAAGTTACAAAACATTAAATGATTTCATCCTGAAATCTGAGATTTTCTATACAGTGGGGCAAATATGTATTTGATCCCCTGCTGATTTTGTAAGTTTGCCCACTTACAAAGAAATGAAGGGTCTGTCAGTTTTTATGGTAGGTTTATTTTAATGGATAGAGATAGAATACCAACCAAAAAAATCCAGAAAAAAAAAACAAATTATATAAAGGATAGAAATTGATTTGCATAAGTATAAGTATTTGATCTCCAAGCAAAACATGACTTAGTACTTGGTGCAGAAACCCTTGTTGGCAAGCACAGAGGTAAGACGTTTTTTGTAGTTGGTCACCTGGGCCCGTATTCACAAAACATTTTATCTTACCACTAAGAGTTCTGGCGTGAACGTCTCGAATAGTTCCTGTATCAAATGAAGGCCCGCCTTCTGAAAATGAAATGTGCTGTGATTGGTTAGCTGGGCCAGTGTGTGCAAAGTGAAAAAGCATAATAGCACCCCTTTAAGCTAAGAGTAAGGGGGTGGGGTTGAGCTCATTGCTATGGATGATGTCAGCATGCTTACTAACTATGCCCACAGTGATTGGCTGATAGTCTCTGTCAGAGATTTATTCATAGACATATTGTAGAGCACAGTATTATGTTGCCATATTCAAATAAAGGTTTAAAAATAAAAATGATAATTGCCACATTCAAATAAAGATTTTAAAATGCAGGCTAAATGTAATTAAACAAGTAAATGTTCAGTTAATTGTCAGTCTCTTACATTTGTGCTTCTCATAAACAATTAGCGGATATGCATATAAACAGCATTTTAATTAACAGAGAAGAATAATCATGACTGATAGTAAGACATGCAAACATATAAAAAAAAATAAAAAAAAACTGGACGCAAGAACAGCTGTTACTTCTTGCCCAACTGGTTAATG